CCAATTTATTAAAAGAGCCATGTTGGCACATCTGGGAAAACCTGAATCTGAAAGCTTCCAGGTTTCCCCACCCAGTTGAAAGCTCAACATCCTGCCCCCACACCCACGAGTCCATCACATGGTCCAATCTTCCACTGCCACGCTGGCAGCTTCCACCCATCCAATTCCAGCCAGGTGCAAAAACAAAGATGACCTTGGCTTTCTAAGAAGAATGTTATTATGGCTACATATCACCCAACTCCCGTTTTCCCACAATAGAAAATAGATAGTAGAAAGTATGGCAGGCCTGAAGTCCGAAAGAAAAGATGGCTTGCAGGCATGACAGGGGCAATGTTTAACCTCTGGGCCAAGCCTGCCAACAAGGTGGCCCAGAAATGCCATCGAGAGGAGAGGAAAGGGAACCAGGAAGAGTGGGACTCGCTGATTCATTCCATCTGCATGCTGCAGCATCTACATCAGTGGTAACAGTAACAGAGGTATATAATACAACTAACAAAACTCATATACTGTGTTTCCCCGAAAATAAGACAGGGCCTTTTCTTTTGACCCCACCCCCCAAATGCTTGGCCTTATTTTCATGGAGGCTGTAATATGACATCGCGGTGAAACAACAGACTTTCCTGTGTCTCCGGGATGACCGTCGAATTCCAGTCGCCTGGATGGTCCAACTGCACCTAAACCATCCCATAGAGACAGTGACAGGTAGGGGTATAACTTGTCGATCCCAGAGTCACCCCCAAAGTCTCTGGTGATTCGGGAAAAAGCCTCTCTTGCCAGCAACTACGAGTCAGCCATTAGGCTGCTGGAACTGCTGACAGCTCCATAATGCAAGGGCAGGAGAGAAGCATGTCGTTTTGGTGAGAGTTTTAAATTTTTTTCTTTATTGGAGAGAGAACACCCTAAATCTGGAGATTTAATTTAAAATAAAGACTGATGAGAGAGCAAATGGTGGACTTAAGGCATGGTCAACTGAAGATTTCCTTTTTTCCCTTTTTACTGCTAGAAGCCTGATTGGACTTTCATTGTAATTCACTTTTTAAATTGGACTGGCTCTTTGCGCTTTGTTTTTACTTTCTTCATTGGACTCTTTGGAAACATTGATATAATTAAGTTTTAATTGTCTTAAGAATTTTCTTTTTTTTTTTTACTTTTGCTTAATGAACTATTGTATTTCTCTCTTCCTGGCTTTCTTTTTTCTACTTTTTAAAAAAAAATAAAAGGCAAAGAGTAAAAGACAAAGACTGAGAGTGGGAAACTTTGAAACAATGTTTTTACTTTTCCATGAATGTTCAGAGAGAAGCTGTTCTTTTCAAGGTTACTTAGTCAAGGCTTGATAGTGAGAAGAACATGGTTGTT